TGTGGCACCAGAATTTGGCTTTTGAAGATATCAGAAACTGCTTTAAATAAACTCACCAATCATTTGTACCATCCAATATCGGTAATATAATTTTAATAAGAGTGGACTGAGGAGAAAGTTGAGGAATAAATTACCGAAGAGATATCTTGTGTTTGTATGTGCACATGTGTAGTGATCTCACCCATCACACTTTGCATCTCTATGCCCAGCTAAATATTTCTTGGATCCTGACGGTCAGAATGTGCTTCACTTAACTGTTAATGGTCAAGAATAAACGTTTCTTTAAAAGTTCTATGCAGTGTATATTGGACTCCAAATGGAGATTGATCTATATTTATAATATGTAAGAAATATGATACCGAAACAAAACCTTTAGCGGATGTAATTTTTTTAAAGCTCTTTTCTCTATTCGGATTGCCGAATATAGGCCTCTCCAATTCTCGCCATTCATCCCTGTTGTTTGTAAGACGTTTCCACATTGGCCCTGCAGTTCTTTTAATATCGTCGCTCCGTCGCATTTGCAGTCTTCCTCGTGGTCTTTTGGCTTCATATGGCCGCCAATTCCCGATTTCTTTATTCCATGGGCCATCCGTAAGACGTTCGTTATGTCCAGCCCATTTTAGTTTAGCTGCCCTGGAAGGGGATGGAATATAGCGGATGGAATTTTTTTTAACCTATTCTCTATCCTTCCATTGTTGGATATAGGTCTCCCCCAGTTCTCTCCATCTTTCCCTATCTTGAGCAGTTCTCTGCCATGTGGGACCTCCTTGTTTCCTGATGTCATCTTTCCACCTCATCTGTGGTCTGCCTTTTGATCTCTTTGCATTGTATGGACGCCACTTTCCGATGGCATTGTTCCATCGTCCGTCTTGGAGACGTTCATTGTGTCCAGCCCATTTCCACTTCAGTTTTGCTGCTTGTTCTATCGCGTCTACTGTCTTTGTTCTGGTTCTGATCCACTGGTTACATTTTCTATCTCTAAGTGATACACCCAACATTTGTCTCTCCATCGCTCTTTGTGCCTTCCTTATCCTATCCAAATTGGCCTGTGTAAATTTCCATGTCTGTGCTCCGTAGGTGAGCACTGGTATGATACAGGAGTTATATACCTTGCTTCGTAAGTATAGAGGGATTGTTTGATTTTTTAGAACGTAAGAAAGTTTGCCGAACGCTGCCCATCCCATTCTTACTCGTCTCAATATTTCGGCTGTTTGATTTTCTCTATTAGCTCTGATTGCTTGTCCTAGATAGATATACTCATTTACCTGTTCTATTTTTTCTGTTTTTATTTTTATTGCCTCTTGGTCTTCCGTGTTTGTCATTACTTTTGTTTTGTTGAAGTTAATTTTTAGGCCTTTTGCAGTGATTTTTCATAAAGTTCATTCAGCATTAATTCCAGTTCTTGTCGTTCCGAGGAGATCAGGAGTATATCATCTGCATATCTAAGGTGATTTAGGTATTTTCCGTTAATACATATTCCTCTGTTTTCCCAATTTGTTGATTTTATTATGTCTTCGAGGGTCAAGGTAAACAGTTTAGGTGAAATTATATCGCCTTGTTGGACTCCTCGTTTAACTTTTATATTATCCGTTATTAATTTGTCGTCCAGAATTACGGTCATGGTTGCGTTTTGGTAAATATCATGTATCAATTGTCGGTATCTTGAATCTATTCTACTATTGACTAGAGCTTCTTCAACCGCCCAGTGTTCAATGCTGTCGAAAGCCTTTTCATAATCTACGAATGCTAAGTACAGCGGAAGGTACAGCGGATGGAATATGTTATAATAATTCAATTTTAAAATACCTACAAGGTAAAAATTAAATTAATGGAAATTACATTAATTAGATTAATTGAAATTAAACACCAGATATTCTTGCACAGGCCGCTATCAAAAAACCTAATAATAGCAGTAAAAATTTTGGAATGGATAATTCGGCACAGGTATCTACTAAAGCGAAACTGCAGTCTTGGGACACATTATACCTACCATCGAAATGTAAGCAACGATATAACATTACATGGCATTTTTAAATAATATTTACATTCTCTAATTAAGAGCGCCATTGCTTGCGTAAGATCATAATTATTCTAAAATTTTTTTTATGAATTCCATTAAAAATTATAAATATTTAAAATAATAAATTTGTATAAGATTTTAACCACAACACGTGTCAAAACAAAACGTGGCCAGACTAGAAAAGATGTCGTTTTATTGTGACTAAATCTCTTACATAAACAAGTTCCTTGTAAGATAATAATTTTATTGATTTATTGTAATTCAAAAATACTATGTAATATGAATGACTGGACTGCTCCGATAAAACTATCAATGCAACGTTGCCGAAACATCGGCTTTTGTAAGTTGCTTGATACTTCATGCTATCAAGCTTCGAGTCTGTCTACTGGAAAATCCTTATAAAATTGAAAATGCGCAACACCTGACAACGCTGCATAAATTCCCAAGAAATAGGTTAACTGTCTTATCACCGACAAAAGGTCAAGGCAACAAGACCATTATAATTACTTTTTGTTTTTAATCTAAAATTACATTTTATGACATTGCGTAGATTTTGTAACAAGCGTGGCTCATCAAACGTATTGTTTATATATCCTTTTGTAATAGTTATTATAGCATTATCAGACTATCATGAATTTTATTTTCTGTTTAACAAACATGCAGCATGCAGCATGTGGAGAAACATACCTATGATGCATGGACAGACAACTGTTAAAATCCATTTTAACATTACATTTTAACAGTAAATAAACAAAAATATCTGAAAATGTATCTATTGTTAAAATTGTAGCGTTACTCCTTTATAAATTGGGATTTCGAATGACATACAGCACTGTGTGCTATGTTATTACTTTTGGTTATGGTTATGGTAGATTGGGCGGGGCTCATTTATGAGCTACTCAGCACTTAGAGCTCCTAAGGTGGGTCTATTGTATCACTCTTATCATACGGACTAGGCCTATAAGGACCTAGTTGTCAGCGCTTCTGGGGCCAAGGCTGCTAAAGGCTCCCATATCTGCTAGAATAGGTAGAGGCTCCAAATCTGAGCTGTTCCTACCGTTCCGAACGTCTAATCCTTTAGTAATCTTGTGACCTCACAGAAAGCCGCAACTTTCTTTAGTGGTAAGTTACTTATTTGGCTCGGTTGCATAAAGGCCGAACCCAGTATTTGCCACTTCTGGCAAGTCATAGCCGGGTTTCGGTATGAGGTTTCCTCCTCCTCACTACTTAGACGTCACTATGGCCATCCGCCAAACCGAGTAGATGAAGGTACTGCCTGAGTCTACAATGGTCAGGAAGCATAATGACCACGAGAGAACATCTTCTGTGTCCAAAAAAATGAAGTTGGGCGGAAGTCATAGCAGGAAGTATTCTAGTGGAAACAAATTTCTAATGCACTGATCATTCGTATAAACCTACACCAAATGTTAAGTTCATCTGTCATTTCAGTCTTTATTTCTACAACGTTCTGTTGTAATATTCTCTATGAAAACAGGATTAGAAGCTATCGAATTTCGTAAAGAATTGGTAAATGTGTTTGACAATCATGCGTCTTCAAAACTATCGTCTGTTTGTGAGCTATAATTTTAATATGGTCGTTTAATTTTTAAATGTGATCAATCTTTTGGAAGTCTAAAAATTGCTACTACTGGAAAAATGACTAACTCTGTACATGGTATGATTATGGATAATAGATGTTCAACCAAGCGTAAAATTGCGGAAGCTATAGACGTCTAATCTAAACTACATATTTTTTAATATTATTACTTTAATGTTTAAAAAATTTAACGAAGATTTCTCAGTTGAAGCTCTTGGAACATTGATACGCAACTATAAATGACATCTGGTTTTATTACATGATCCTGAACTGCTATATTAAACTGCAGAGTAATGTCTGGTTCTCTAACGTGTTATGGTTCTCCGAATAACCGAGGATCTCCAAAGCAAATGGATGACTCCGAAAAAACTTCAAACTCGTTTAAGAATATGCTGTTAGTTTTTTAGGATCCAAATGAAAATTATCTTAGGTGATTATTTTTAAATTGGTGAAGCAATAATGTTTGGCTATTATAAAAAGCTTTTGACCAAGTACCTACACAACAAATTCTTAAAAAAAGACCTGCATTGCAGAAAAAAACTCAATTCTCACCAAACACCACATGACTGTACACTTTTGATTGATACCAGCGATGTTATAAAGGTAAATTAACGTAAAATTACGAATACGGATGGAACATCCATCCAATTCACTAGATCGGACACGCCCTGAGTTCCGTATTTTCTCAAACCTAAAGAAATTTCTACATGAAAATCGTTTTTTGTCAATAAAGTTTTTAGCAGTGGGTGGATATTTTAAAGTAGTCCAGTCCAGACAATCACTCCAGAGATGGTGAACTTAAAAGATTCTTTGATGATATGATAAGAACTTGAGTTCTGTAGTTTCTCAGCCTAATGCTTAGGCATATAAAAATACAAATCTTACAAGTAAAACCCCTGGGTGCATAAATAACTATTTAAAATCATTTTGAAAATCCTTAAAACGTCTTCATCGTTTAAGTGTTTTTAATCTAGTTTGCTAGGTATCGTTATACTACACAAGTGCACACATTATGATGTAGTGCTTTTAATGCATCGAAAGAGTTAATGTAGTTGGGTTGGTAAATATTAGTTACCTACATATTATCACAAGACTTATTTTCTCAAAAGGTCACACGACTTTTTGCTGTCTTGGATAAGATGATTGATTAATCAAGATGACGTTTAAAGCACATGAATATCATCATGTGATATTAGTGATAATGAGATAAAAAATATTCGTCAATACTGTATGCTGAAATCATTGTAAAATAAGGACCAATTTGTTTCTCGTTTTTACTATTTATTTTGGATATTTCTTTTCCCTTGTTACTATTGGATTTTATTTCTGTTTATTTATATCTTGTATGTTTCTTTTTGTGTGATAATAGTCTGTATTTTACAGAGATGTCGAACCAACAGCTGCCATCCAACAAGCGCTTTCGGGTGACAACATTATGGAAAAAGATAGAAAATTATCTGAATTAATTTTCCAACTCCAGATGGTCAGGGAACAGCTCTTACAACAACAACCAGAACCTAATAAGGTAAATATACTAAATTTTGTTGTGGAATCACACTAAAATTTTAATTGATAAAATACTACTCTTCCTAAGATTATGATTATGTGATGATGTGGATAAACTTCAGCAAGATCCTGATATTTTTATATGCGTACTAAACAGATATAATTATTAAAAACTATTGAATTTTTTAAAACAAGACTATTGGATCGTTCTCGAAATTCTGTCACTTAGCGTACGTTACAAAAATGTGCTTTAATTGAATAGAGCATTGAATAATTAGTTAATGAGATGACAATAATGACTTGATTTTGGTAGGAACGTTCCAGCCACGGTTCTCCATTTTCACCTATGTAACGAGGTTTTCTGGCCAAGACCTGCTCAGTTTTCGTTCCTCCATTAGTGGATGTTATAATTCACGGATAATTTGGCTATGGTGCATTGAATTACAAATTTTAGCCTTGTTGGCGTGAAGTGATACGACATATTTTACGATTGGTGCTCCTAGATCATTGTGGATGGTTGCATTGCTCACATATCAAGGGGCGTTAGCTATACACAATGGTTTTGATTTTAAGGTCTGCAAAATTTTTGTGTTTGAAGGCTGCCTACAGACCCAGAGTTCTACGCCTTAAGTCTTAAGTATTTTGTTTCCCAATGACAGTTGTTACTTTCTGCCCAAAAACTAATTAATTTGTTTCAATTGTATATCGAACTGAGTATTTTTGGCGTTAATGTGTTGCTGCTTTCGGTCCAAATGCAATCCAAGATATTTCGCTACGTCTCTAGCAGGAATAGGAGCGTTGTTTAGACTAACTTGTGGACAGATGTGTCTTCTTGTTGTGAATGTGATTTGGACCGATTTTTCGTTGTTAACTTTAATTTTATATTTTGTCAATCAATTATCTAATATATGCAAGTAATTTTACAGCTTTTTGGCAGCTATGTCTGGGTTTTTGTTTGAAACTAAAACGGCTGTATTATGGGCAAAAGGCGCCTCTGTGACGACATCTGTAATAGGTATGTCAGCAGTAAAGATTAGGTACAGAAAGGGATCGAGGACACTTTCCTGCGGAACTGCAAATTGGATGGAGTGGTAGATTTCGAAACCATTATTAAAATGTTTCTTCATTAAGTTCATTAAAATGGGACTTCAGAATGAAGTACATATCGTTAGGCAGTAAAGATTTTAATTTATATAGCAAACCGTTGTGCCAGACTTTATCAAAAGCCTGCTGAATATCGCGAAACACTGAGGCACGCATAATCTTTTCTTGATTTTGTTTACTATTCTATGACACTGTTGAGTTTTTGGCAGATGCAAACTGATATTCGGGGATTATGTTCTCAAGTGGTATAGATTCGCTTATTTTATGTAGCAGAAGTCTTTCAAAAATCTTGAACATCAAGGGTAACAAGTTTATCGGACGAGAGGAAGAAGGTTCTACAAGCAATTTATTTGGCTTACCAATCAGTATAATATGAGCATATTTCCGCTGGATTGGAAAATAGCTTACTGCGCATTCAATTGTAGACGATAGTAAGCATGACAACTGCATTAGATACGATCTAAACAGAAAATCTAGAAATAACTATAAATACCTAGCTATAGGATTTACTACATTGGCCACATTAAATGGAGTTTTATTGAAAATACAGTACACCCCCTACTCCATAAGGTATAAAATTAAGCATTTCTTTAACCCGGAATATGTGAATGTAAATAAGACATAAAAAGCTGGAAACACTAGTTACATTGTACAATATGGCAATCATTTTAATCATCAGTATCAGTTAGTTATATTATAGCAGGTAATTACTCATTTTTTGTTCATCAATTTGTAGTGTGTGGATGTGTATATTGTGTATGTGTTTCGACCGATGTTTCTGGACTTTATTTGCTTCAATATTAAAAATTTATATTGGTTCTTTCTATCGTATTATTCGAAATTCTTTAAAAACCATACATTTTCGGTATTTATGTATCTTTACATGAAGTTTAATTTATATTTTTCATGTAACATTTAATTATATATTTTATTACTTTTACACATAATTGTTAATTTTCAAACCTGTTTTCCTAATAACGTCTAAGTGAAACAAATAGCTGTACAAGTACACAAAACACTTCGAATTCATCCAAACAGTAGTTCAACTTTTAACTTGTAGGATTTGATTATTTAAGTTATTTGATTTTGAATCCAGTTTGGATTTACCTATATACACGTATATTGGATTTACGTATATTCTGCAACATTTATTTATAATGCTAAACGGTTTGGCACTGATCGGACATATTTTCGTTTCGCCATTGTGCCGAAACCCAGCAAACAATATTATTATCCCACCTGTCAGCGAGAGGGCAGACAACAAAAGCGAAGTCATCCGTCACAATTGGAATGACCAATGGACGGGACCGCCGTAGAGCGCTGGCCAATGGTGTACGCCTTGCGCGTGGGAGACGTCACAATCAGTTCCGCGACAATCACTCTTGAAACAATGCCCATTTTCAGACTGAGAGAACGTGCCGCTCGGTTGCGACGGATTACGATAACACGACGGTGAAGTATGGGTGTAGGAAATCGACCGGCCTTGCTATTGTTCGGCGTTTGGCGCGCGCCGTTCCTGCAACCGGCCTACGCTGGAGTCAATTTCATAAGGTAAAGCCTACCGGAACAACTGGTAAACTTAACGACAGTAAAATATGTACATAAACTGCTTTTATAGTTTCTGGCAACGTTTTTAACTTGAAGTAAAGCAAAAACAATATATTATATAGATTAAATAAATCTACTAACTCAATTTTTAATAATTTTCTTCACTAAGTTGTAACTGACCGTTAAATTATAAACACGAAATAAAATTTAAATATTTTTAGGTAAGTATATTCCACTGTAGAAACTTTCAAGAAGAGGTAATACAGCAAATTACTAGCAACATATCTTACCGTTATTTTACCATCCAAAGTTATTATATTTTTTGTTGTAACTTTATGTTTAACTGAAAATTTCAAATGCTCTGTTTTTGTTTTACTAAGTTTTAAATTATTTTTCTCTAAAGCTTATCTACATTGTTTCAGTTTTTGTTCCAAATCGTTTTTAATATTCCCTACTAATACTACATCAACAGCATACATTAAGCCCCACAAAATATTACCCTATAGTTTATCTGTTATCTCAATAAATCAATATAAGGTTGAATGTTCGAATAATTAAACTTTGAGGGTATACAAGGCAACTATCGAACACGGTGATTAATTTAATCTTGCCCAAGTACTTTCGATCAATAGATCATCTTCAGGGGCATTTCGTCAGTTGTGGCCTATCCGACATAGTAGAATATCATAAGATATATAGAATATCATAGAATATCATAGAATACTCAGCAAGATTCAAAGCTGCGACCGTCCATACTTTAATTTTTTCAGATATATAAACCAATTCACAGGCAGGAAATCTAGAAGTACCTTGGTACGACAATGTTGCAAACAAGAGTGACAGGCTCCGAGATTTCGTTTTTGTAAACTGACCAATTAAGTCTGTGATATACATGCTTACCAACCACTTTTATTTATATTTGTTTTTTATTATTCTTCTTTTTCACCACCATAAATACATAACTCGTTAATGTACGTTTTTATCTAATGCTACCGTTATATTCTGAATTAATTTAGTTGGCATGGATAAGTACATACTATACACATACACGGTCAGCTATTCCCACTAATCGAAAATTCTTCAAAAGTGCCGACGGTTCGCTCTCAATAATAATAAAATCAACTTTCTATACTCCAAGTATATTCATAAAGAGTCTAAAATGAATTGAACCCATCTGTGTCGACCATCAAAAAGTGAATTTATTGTCATTCTACCGTCAATCGACCAGAATACCAGGAGCGTACTCGGGTTAATTTTCATCGCAATCTGTTAGGCTTTATTGAACTAAACTAAACCTAGCTATAGTATAAACGCATTGCTTCATTGAAGTAGTCTTGGTTATGATATATTTCCAGACAAAATGATACCAGGTAAACTAAACGCATCGTACAGTGGAGACCTAGGTTACATAAGCGAGATGTGAGTCGACCTCCATAAAGATTTCTGGACGGTGTGATAGAAAAGGCGGAGAGACAATGGCACCAGGTAGCTAGAGACATCTTCTTCGTCTAGCCATTCACGTCCACATCTGAACATAAGCCTCTTCAAGTCTTCCTTTCCATTGTTTTTTATTGTACGCTACTTGTAGCCAATTTTTCCCGGCAGTCCTTTTCAGATCATCTGTCTCCAGGTTAAAATTGATCTGTGCCATTTGTTTAGATCGCTCCTAGCTACATGTCCAGCGTATTCCCATTTCAACTTTAATGATTTTTGCACCACATCGGTGACTTTGGTGTTCTGTCTTATCCATGTGTTTGTTTACTTGTCCTTAAGTGATATACCTAGGATTGCTCTTTCCATCGCGTGTTGAGTGACTCTTAAGTATATTCATATTGCTAGAACATATTGACATAGAGCTAGAGACATATTGATATGGAAATGGCAAGGGAAGGCTTACGTCCAGGAGTGGACAGTCAAGGACTGTTGACATAAGAAGACAAAACAGAATTATATAAAACAAATTAAAAATATCTTTAGCTTAGACAAGTGTCGGACGTAGCTCAGTGGCTATGGTAAAGCCGGACGCCTTAAGCTTGGTTCCCGGCAGAGACACCAAATTTAAATCCACGGTGTTTTGGATGGCACGTAAAGCCATCGGTTTCATAGTCGTTGACCCTAAACACTAGAGTAAGAAGGTTACAGGAATGAAAGATATACAATCAGCCAATTGGTAAGTATAAGTAAATTAAAAGAAGTCTTAGCTCTAGTTCAATATATAGACTGGTTAAGATAAAATTGAGTTGTACTCATATGTACCGCTGAGCGTCTGAATGCTTTGCGATAATCTATAAAACAAATGTAGGTATAGTGAGGAATTGAATTCCCTAGATTTTTCTCTGATTTATCTTTGTTCATAGGGTGTTCTCG